TTCCTGTCCTCTCGGCCTCGGGGCGGCTAGATTCGGGACGGGGACTTAGAGCACGTACACCTGGCCCCAGGCCACTCCGACTTGGGTACCTGACGCCTCCAGCCTTTCCTGTCGGGTCTCAGGTCCTCTGCGCCCGCACCTGCTGGGCGCTTTACCTGGCGCCTGGCCCACGCGGGGCTCTCTCTCCCACACACCCAGGCTCTGGTGCCGGCCCACCCCTTGACATACAGCCACGCCGACAGTGCGGGTCCCTGGTGGGGTCCGCGAGGCACGTGCTTATATCCAGCCTAGGGCTTGTCCTTGCTGGCTGGGAGGGTCTTTCTCTTCCTCGGGTACCCGGGCCCTGCCCAGCAGGCGTCTGGAAGCTGAACCCGAGCCCTGCTGGCGCAGACACCTGGGACCCTGAGACTGGGGATCTGGCTGCTGCGCCAGCCCTGCTAGGGCTGCCTGCAGGTGCTGGCTGTGGCCGCTGTCTCAGCTCTGGACAGGGCCCTGAGTGGGACTTCACACCTTGGCCATCAGGGTGTGGTGGGCAAAGCCTCAGGCCAGGGCTTCTTTCCTGAAGCCTGCCTCTGAGTGTGAGATCCTGTGGCTGGTGTATCTGTGCTGGGGTGCTTCTCTGCCTTGGGGTGCTCGGCCAGAACCACAGCTGTGGGGCTTCCCTCTGGACCTTGACCCTCCAGGCCCCTGTGTGGTTGACAGCTCAGCACTGGTGGTCCTCCTCTCTGGGCGGCTGCTGTCCGTCCTGGACAACCCCCGACCTTGCCACTGTGTGATGCTGCAGTCGTCTAGGAGGAAGCTGGGTGTAGGGTGTCTCTTGTCCGGCGTCCAGCCGTGTGGAGCCTCCTCGCATGACCTGTCACCTCTTTCCTTTGTCCCCAGTTGGAATTTGGGGTTTGGGTGGTGGTAAGTATGGCCATGGCAGGGCCACAGAAGGGGCAGTGCACCTCTTCGCTGGAGCACGAGCCAGAGGTGAGAGGTGAGTGGGGCTGGTAGACTCCTGGATGAGGGGATGGTCCTGATGGCCGGAGGACAGACAGACCCCATACAGAGCTCACCACCTGGCTCACCCGCCCTGTCGTCCTCCTGTGGCTGGGGGCCAGGGCAAACAGGTCATTGCTGACCACAGTGAAGGGATGGCCCAAGTGTGGGTGACTGGCCTGGGCTGGGCAGAGTACCCTAGCCTCCATGTCGTGGGTGGGCTGTGAGCGAACGGACAGCTGGCTCGCAGGAGGCTGAGTGAGTCCCTGCTGATGGGCTGACTGTAAAAGTGCTGGCTGAGCCCTGGGTAGGGGAGGAACAGGTCAGATTACCGGCTGGGGAGTCGATGGATGACTGGCCTTAGGCCAGAGAGGATATTATTCAGGTTTTACAGGGTAGAAGGGCTGGAGGTGCTGGGGCCGCTGGAGGGCTCCAGCCCTGCCTAGTGTAGGCAAGGAAAATCCCTGGTTCTTTTTTTTCTTTCACTCAAAAGATACTTATTGAGCTTCTGCTACCAGTCAGTGATGCAACAGGGAAGCCCCCAGGAGGACATGGAGGAAGGGGGCCTCTAAACACCCGACTGAGGAGTGATAGGGATGGTCTGCACTCAGCCTAGAGGACACTGGTTGCCCTGGGAGCTGATGTGGAAGAAAGCTGGGGAAGGAGGCTTTTTCCTGGAGCCCAGGCGGGGCTGCCCAGGGTTCTGCTCTGGAAGTAGGTGACGAGGGAGGGTGATGCCCGGACAACAGCCGCAGCCAGCCCCCAGCTCAGCCAGCTAACCCAGCTCTCACCGTGGGCCAGATGCCATTCCCATTTCCCGAGGACCAATTCCTCACAGCAACCTTGGGGGGACGGGCACTGTCATTCACCTCGTGTTATAGGTTTGGAAACAGGACAGAGAGAAGTGGCTCATAGGCCAAAGCAGTAGTGAAAGGAGTGGCAAAGACTGGGTTGTCCCGGGTTTGGGGGAGCTGGTGGAGGGTGGGAGAGACCTTTGCAAGCAGAACAAGGAGGAGCAACCAGAGGTCATACTGCAGGTGGTGCATAGGAGGGCTGCTGGAGGTGGGAGTGTTGGCTCAAGAGGGAAGTTCCAGACGTCACTCTGGCACACGGTTCACAGGATGATTCTCCTTATAGAACCGAGCAGCCCCAAACCTCCGAAGGCCGATACTTGTCAGTCTGGTGCTCGTCTTTCATCCTGCATCTGGCACTATTAGAACTAAAACACTTTAAACCTAGATGGCACCCCATGATCTGCACCTGGCCGGATGCACCTGCCCCTGTCCTCTGGCCTTGCTCACCCCAGCAGATACCCATGCCTGGGGTAGGAGGGACCTACTTTCTGTGTGTGTCCACTCCCTGCACCTCCATTGTCCCTGCAGAGGAGAGAGTGGACGGGAGCAGTTTGACTTTAAGATGGTGACTGGAGGCTGCTCATCCCGGCAGGGCCTCTGAAGGAGCCTCGGCCTGCGTGCAAAGGGGGCCCTTTGCCTGATTGTTGGGAGGTTCACAGAGTTTGGGCCTCGCTGGGATAACCAAGGGTGGGTTTTTTTTTTGGGGTCAGGTGACACTGTGGCTTGTTCACCTTAATTCTGGGGCTGGGTCTAGGCTTAGTGGAGGACTGTTTCAGCCACCTTGCCGTTGAACATGTGGGTTATGCCTACATGGTTTGCCGTCATGCCTAGAGTGTTGTTCAAGGCTCCTGGGTAAACAGGGTGAGATTCTAAGGAGAACTGCTCTGGTAACTGTGCATACAGTTATAGCCGATCTGCCTGGTTCTTCAGGGCCTCCATCCGTGTCAGCTTACAGCTCGATAGCTATAAAGGAGTGTCTGTTTTTCTGCTTCATCTACCACACATATCAAAATATTTAATATTTGCCAATCTGATGGGTTAAAGTGGCAAGTCATCTGCGTTTCCCTGAATTTTAGTAGGTGGGACATCTATTCCTTTACCTCCTACTTTGTGAAAGTCACCCCTAAAGTGAGTGGTTTAAAACAACCGTTTTGTTATTACTCATGGTGGTCGGTTGGGAATTCGGGCAGAGGTGGGCGCTGTGTGCCGTCTGCGGGGGCCGGTCTGGGGACCACTGCCCCCTTCCAGTGTAGCTGTTGTTTCCAGCATCCCCAGAGCAGCCCAACCCGAGGAGGGGGCCTGCCCTCTCCACCAGGAGTGTTTAAAGCAGGGTGGCTCTGGAGCCTGCCCGGATGTCTGGTTAGTTCACAGTCATGCTCCCGCCTCTCTGCCTGCTCCCCTGATGGTTTCTCTTGGTAGGAGCAGCATTGGTGCTCCAGATTTCCAGGGTGGGAATAGTTAGTTTCAGGCCTGGCCCTCAGAAGGGACGGCTGATGGAGCACGGATTAGAAATTAGGTGGTGAGGCTGGGCTGGCATGGAAGCCGAGAGTGGCCACTGGCGGTGCTGACGGGGCAGAGGGCAGCCCAGGGCACTGTGGGACCAAAAGGGAGGCCTGTGCCCGCAATGTGGGACCAGCCTGGGGAGACCATGGGCACAGCTGGTGTGGCTGACCCCTAGTACTGGGCACTTAAGACACCACCTTCTTCCTGCCTAGTGGCTGCGTCAGGAGAGTGTCAGATTCTGAGTCACCTTACTTCACCTGACCGTCAAGTCAGGGGAGGAAGAGGGCTGGGCAGGCAGGCTAAAGTACTTGGCCTTGACTCAGCAGGGAGAGGGCGGGGAGGGCGCCTTTGGGCTGTCCATCACTGAGCTCCCACTCCCTGCCTTGCTTGGGTCTCCAGCTGTGCTGTTCCCTCCGGTGACCAGCGTTAGCTGGGCCCGGTTCAGCCATGACCTTCTGACTATAGTGGGCTCTGGGCACAGGTCTCTGGAACAGAGGAATTTGAGATCCTGACCAGCAGACGGACTGTGGCAGTGACCTCTGCTGCGAGGTTCCTGGTCTGTGTGCTTCCACTGGGAGCGGGTGGCGGTGGTGGGGTTGGGGAGGTCCAAGCCATCTCAATGCAGAAAACCAGCCCTCCTGGGCAGTACCCAGGAAGCCATGGTGTCCCCACACCTTCCAGTGTGCCAGACTGTTGGCTTTCTTATCTACTCAGGCAGGTCTGACCACATTCCTGCAACTTAAGGGCTAGCAGTTAGCTTCCTGGAGCGGAAAGGGGTGCCTCCCAGACTAATTGATTTGCCTGTGAGGCAGCACGAAGGTGGGGTTGGAGGTCAGATGCCCCACAGGCCTCTCTTCACTATCAGTTTCCCAAGCATCCCCTATAGGGATTGTGGTTTTTACTGGTCTGATGGAGGTTGGGGGTTGCCCAGGGGTCATCTGGGCGACCATTGGGAACTTCTTGTTCTGGACTGCAGGATAGATGGAGCTCTGTGCCTCAACACCCTGGCTCCCTGAAAGCACCCCAAGATGCAGGATGGGCAGGTGTCCTCTGGAGGGCACAGGCCATGGGCTGGCCTTCCCAGGGCCTAGCTGGGTGGGACTGCTTGGTCCCTGGGTGCTACCAGCCTTGCCTGCATCCCTGTGCTAGGGGTAGGAAGGGGTCCAGGTCAGCACGTGGCTGGGGCTCATGCTGTCCCCACCTTGCAGCCATCCGGGTGACCTGCACGGGGTCCTGCAGGGTCTCCAACAAGGCCAATGACGCAGCATGGGTGGCGGAGGAGGGCTACTTCAACAGCGCTCTGTCTCTAGCTGACAAAGGTGAGTCTGTGAACCTGTCCCTCACCCCATCCTATACGGTGACGCCTTGGGGCAGCCCTTGCTTGAGAGTGCGGTCTGGGGGAGGATATAGCTCAACTGGGTTTAATCCCCAATACCTCCTCTATAAATAAATAAATAAACCTAATTACCTCCCCCCTGAAAAAATAAGAATAAAAAAAAGAAAGAAAAGAGAGTGCAACCTGTCTGTGCATCCTACCTCTCTGTCTGCCCTGGGACCCTGTGCTGGACCACCCTCTTCCAGGACTGCGCACTCCGATGGATTTTTCTCCCTGGCAGGCATGAGGCATTGCCTGATAGGGGCTGAGTGGCTGAAGAGGGCCGCTTCTGGATTTGGATGGGCTCTGGCCCAACCCCAGAGGAGCCCTGACCCTCCTCCTGCTCAAGCCAAACTCTCATCCCCCATCCTTTGCCCAGGCCACAGCCCTGTGCTGCTGAGGTGCTGGTGACAGAGGCTGGGGGAACCCAGCAGCCAGACGCAGCCTGCTTCTGTCCTGGGCCCTTGATGTCACCTCTAGGCTCCTGAGGTCCCCTCTCCCCACACCTCCCTCCTGTCTCTGCAGGGAGCCTGCCTGCTGGAGAGCACAGCTTCCCATTCCAGTTCCTGCTTCCTGGTGAGAGCCCGGCCTGGCCTGGCCTGGTGGTGATAGTTGCTGGGGGGGTGGGTGAGAGATGGGGTGGGGACAGACAGCTGGTGCCAGACCCTGCTCTCTCTCCAGCCACAGCTCCCACGTCCTTTGAGGGCCCTTTTGGGAAGATTGTGCACCAGGTCCGGGCCACCATTGACACTCCACGTTTCTCCAAGGATCACCAGTGCAGCTGCGTGTTCTACATTTTGAGCCCCCTGAACCTGAATAGCATCCCAGACATCGAGGTGAGCCTGGGGCACTGGCCTCCTGGGTGGCCTGTACCCCTGCAGGAAGCCCTGTCCCCAGCAGAGGTGAGGTGTCCAGGGTCTGGAAGAGCAGTGGCCCCTCTTTCCTGAACTGACCATGCTGCATCCCGGGGCCCCAGGGATCTAGCCTGCCCACACCTGCCAACCCCCAACCTGCTCTCCTTCCAAGCAACCCAATGTGGCCTCTACCACCAAGAAGTTCTCCTACAAGCTGGTTAAGACGGGCAGCGTGGTCCTTACTGCCAGCACTGACCTCCGAGGCTATGTGGTGGGACAGGTGCTGCGGCTGCAGGCCGACATCGAGAACCAGTCTGGCAAGGACACCAGCCCTGTGGTGGCCAGTCTGTTGCAGGTTAGAGTCCCTGTGGGGCAGAAGAGGGGTAGATGGCTGGCCTGCCCAGACTCACAGGCTGGCTGTTTTCCAGAAAGTGTCCTATAAGGCCAAGCGCTGGATTTACGATGTGCGGACCATCGCAGAGGTGGAAGGTGCCAGTGTCAAGGCCTGGAGGCGGGCGCAGTGGCAAGAGCAGATCCTGGTGCCCGCCCTGCCTCAGTCTGCCCTGCCAGGCTGCAGCCTCATCCACGTGGACTACTACCTGCAGGTCTGGGGGTGCAGGGGTGGTGGAGGAGGGGCCATGTGGGAGGAGGGGCCAGCGGCCTGGCCCCTCACCCCATCCCCCAACCTCTCCAGGTCTCCCTGAAGACTCCAGAAGCCATTGTGACCCTCCCGGTGTTCATCGGCAATATTGCTGTGAACCAAGCCCCACTGAGCCCCCGGCCAGGCCCAGGGCTGTCTCCTGGGGTCCCACCCCTGGTAGTGCCCTCAGCACCACCCCAGGAGGAGATGGAGGCTGAGGCCTGCAGCCCCCACTTCTTGGCGAACCCTGTCTCCCTCTCCACCAAGAGCCACTCACAACAGCAGCAGCAGCAGCCGCCTGCCGCCTTAAGCTCTGTGCCTGGTGCCCCTGAACCCCGTCCTCAGGATGGCAGCCCCGTCCCCCACCCTCTGCCCCCTCCCTTGTGCATCTCCACAGGTGCCACCGTTCCCTACTTTGCAGAGGGTTCTGGAGGGCCGGTGCCCACCACCAGTACCTTGATCCTCCCCCCGGAGTACAGCTCGTGGGGCTACCCCTATGGTGGAGTGGGGGGCCGTGGGGTCCTGGTGGGGAGGGAGTGCCACAGGCCCCATGCAGACCCAGCTCTCTCCCTGCAGAGGCCCCGCCGTCCTATGAACAGAGCTGCGGCAGTGCGGACCCCGGCCTGCCCCCCGGGAGCTGACCCGTGCCGCCTTCTCTGGGCGGCCGACCTCTGCCCTGGGACCGGGCTCCCAGGGCCTCGTGCCTTCGCTCCCGGCCTGGCCCAGCCCACTCAGGATCCGCCGCTGTCCGGCCGCTCCCCGCGGCCTCCGCCTCCGGACCAGCATCTGCCCCAACTAGTCTCCGCGGCTGCCCTGTACTCGGCCTC